AAGTTTTAAATATTATGAAATATTGTAATTCTAAAAGTAAGTTTCATTTTTCGAGATTTCATAATATCATTTATTGTTAGTTTTATTAAAAGCAATAAAATCACAGATAAAATATTGATAAAATACTACTACATTTCTGATAATAAAGACAGGACAGGGGCCATTTTCGTATAAATTTATTGCCATTGAGAAATTAAGTACATCAATTCGTATGCTTATTTTGACTAAGATGATGATGAAAACTTTCACGAAATATTTAGTTCAAAAATTTGTCAACGTCGTTTAGTTTAAAGTTTGGTTATCTATTTGGATTCTAAACATTTAAGAGCGCAAAAACAGTTGACATTTCTTCAGGTCGTTATCGTAAATTGCACAAACTGACGAAATCATTTATGTCTTGAATAAATAATTTGCCATATCATAAATTTCAGTATACACCATATCAATTTGTAGTTAGGTGGGATTTAAGAGAGTAAAATTTATCGATTGGCCAATTTATAATCGACACAGTTCATCTATTAGTTTTCAAATAGATAATTATTAGAGTAGTTTCGAATAAGGTTGTGAAATAAAGCGAAAAGTTTCTGAAATAAAAAACAACAAAGATAAAATGTCAACGATTGGCAAGTAAAAAAATCTGGAGTAGAAATGTCGGACAAACTATAGGTATGTTGAAAGATAGAGTTAAAGAACATGGTTGTAGTACGCGTGCATTTGTTTGTCTGTTCTTATAAAACTCGATAATGATAATACATAGGCTGATGTTTTACATTATGGCGTTAAAACTTCTTTAATACAAGTCAAATATAAAGCATCTCAGAGTTGTAGAAAGTTTAGAAATTAGAACACAATTCAATAGATTTTTGCACTATCTATACTTTCTGATCTGTATAATCTACCCTGAAGAAGCTTTAAGACTATGAAGCGGAACATCGGGATTATTGTACATTAAATAAAACATTTTTCATCCCTTAAACTGCAGCAATAGTCCTGTAGATAAATTTTAGGGATATAAATACGAAGGTGTATAATTCTGGAGCAAGTATGTCTTAATTAATTACGATTGTGCTTTTGGTGACCAAATGGGAAGGTACTGAAGTAGATCATAATCACAGTTGTATCAAAGTTGAATTAGATCCATCTGTAATTGATGTAGATATGGATGATGTAATGAAAAAGGAAATAAGCAAGTTCGTTAAAAGAACCTTAATTAGTCTCTGTTAAAAATTAATTTTTGTTTTTTAATATAAAGGTAGACAATGTACATATTATTTCCAAAAATAAACGGTGGTCTTGACATTTTCTGTAAGATTTACGATTTTTTAATTTAAAAACAGATTTTGATTTTCATTGGAATGCCTTTCGTCGCTCTACTGGGTTTTATAATGGCTTTGTATAAAATTTCCCATACAATTAACAAACCATAACGAATAAAAATGTGAAGAAGTTAGTAATAAGGAAGCAGTCTGTTTGTTCTTACTATGCATGACACATGTATTTTATTGCCTCTTGTTCGAATCGAACGTGTGAATGGCTCAAGTTGAAACAGGATGGAAAATTATTTATTTCCCAACTCAATTACTATTGCGAATTTTAATTAATTGCAAAGTTTGGCCGATTAAACATTTGAAGGATTTTGAAATTTTACATTCAAATCATTCGTGATTAAAGTGTTTTTTTTCTGTTATTAATGTTATTTCCTGGATATTTTGGAAATTATAATTTTACAGAAAATTTTGGAACTGTATACCTAATGCTCTTATATAAACTACATATGTTCTATGCTTACGAACGGTTAATTTAGAAATTCGAAAAAGATTGTTGAAGGTGTATGTATGGGTGCGAAACATGGACGGTGGGCGCGGCGGAAAAGAAAATGTTAGAAACGTTTGAAATGTGGTGTTACAGGCGAATGATGAGGATACCGTGGATAGAGAAGGTTAGAAATGAAGAGATATTAGAAGGAATAGGAGAAGAGAGGTCTTAATGGAAATTAATAAGAAATAGACGAGATAGGTTATTAATTGGTAGGACACCTTTTCGGGCATGAAGGGTTAGTTAGAGACATACTAGAAGCAGAAACAAGAGTTAAGAGGAGTAGGAGTAGACCTACATGAAATTATTGTTCATGAATAGTTATGAATGTGGGGTGTTCTAATAGTAGTAGAGAAATGCGGAAAGTAGTTGAGGATAAAAAAGCAGTCTTAAAACTGACGATCTTGTGATGATGATGATGATCTATTTTCCACTATTTCTTCTTTGGTGTTGGTTACAACCTTATATAGTTTGTAATCCTACATTTGACTTTCTCGTTACCTTACCATTCCTTAAATTTTTTAATGATAAATCAAAATATCATTCATCTACGTTTCTGCTTTCTATTTCCAATACATCTCTTAAATCTTGTCCTAAATATTCTTTCCACTTATCCGTTTTTTCTCACTTTCTAGAAAAATGCCTCCTGATTTGTTCTTTATATTATTGCTCATGTGCTGCCCTATTTCTCTAAAATTCTTTTAATTGTATTATAAGCCTCACCAATCCTACCTGTTTAAAAAAAAAGCTACGCCGAAAGGTAGGGTAGAAGACCCTCTTCAGCCTACTTTCAGGAATCGTGGGAATGGGTGGGTGGTGGTTCGGGTGAGAAAGTTGAGACGGACGAAATGAAGACAGAAGAGAATGAATGATTATATTATTGACCCAGCATTTGCCTAAGTGATCGAAGGAAACCACATAAAAACCAACCAAGGCATACGGTCCCGGAATCGAACCGGCGTCTTCCCGAATTCAAAGCAATGGTCTAAACCTCTAGGTCATGCCACCTATTTCAAACATTTCCTCTTCTTCGATATATCTATTATTATGTAACGATCTGACTATTTAGCTGCATTATACTTCCTGATGGATTCCCAATTTATCGCCTTATATTCTTCTTTTTATGTGGTACAAGCAAAAATCCATAATTTGGTAAACGTGTGGAAAATCACGTTTATCCGAAATGAAATATCATCTCCTCTCAAACTGTCCTAAACTAACCTAACTCCCAAAATCTTTTGAACAATGCGTAACATCTTTTAAAGGTTTTAAATTGTATTTGTTGGACTTCATTATTTTAAAATTCCCAAGATTCTATATTTGCACCACGTAATGAAGTACTTACCTATAACCGAATTCGATTTAGGTGTGAAATGATAATGGAGTAATATATTTTACATATAACTATATAAAATATGCTAATCAATATGATTCAATACTACAAGTTAAATGATGTTTAAGTTAAATAGAAACGGCTGTGACAGTCAAAAAGTATTTCTCATTTTCATGACTCTAGTATCCAAACAAAAGATAATTAAAGTGTACGCATCATACCTACCTAATAAATCGTAAATTCCTAATTGAGATAGACTTCTTCTCGGGTATATTTTCTCCATTGTTAATTTCGTTTAAACCATGAACCGTAAGAGAACTTTGACTTGCTTCAATCAGTACATTCCAAGTGTTTCCATTTAAGTTCAAAAGTTCAATACTCGGAACGTAGAATTGCGTTCTTTCCGAAATTTGGGAAGCACATGCAGTGACTGTATCTAACAGCCTTCAAGAACAATTAAATGTTTATGTGCTGTATCGCATAATCTTATGTGAAACTCACAAAAAGTTTCGTAATTGTTATTTGTAACGGAGCGATTTTTCGCTTTCCTTAGTTGCGATGCTATTTTGCATATGTTTAACGCTAGATTACTTAAACTCGAATCCGTTTATCTAAAAATTATCAGCTTTGTTTTCAAACGTATTATTCACGCGTATGGAGTAATTTTTGGCGCTTTGGGCAGGTGAACGTCCGTATTAAAGAAAGGCAAAATAAAATAATAATAATAATAATAACAATAACAGTATTATTCCGATTTGCATGCATGCAGGTATATAACAACTGGATTGCGGATTTGGTATAAAAGTGTTGTTTACCGCGTACGTTAACGAAACTGCAGGACCTTGTAATATTTAAATTCCGGCAGCAAGGACGGCATTAATATTAACAGCTTTGACTTAACGGCTGGTAATTTTTCTTGTCTGTGTATCTTCTTTAGATTGCTAATTAGCAGTAGTATGCGTAGGAAAAACGATATTTTTTATCTGTTAGAGTACAACAATAGAACAAGTAGAAACTAGCTGACTGATTGTTAATAATTTAAAAAACGAAAGTTTTCGTCGACGTTTTTAGTTAATTTAGGATTAATAATCACACCAAAGGTACTGCCTACATAATTAAGAAATTCGAAAAAGATTGTCATAGATTTATGTCAAGAGCGCGACGCTGTACGGGTGCGAAACATAGACGCTGGGCGCAGAGGAAAAGAAAAGGTTAGAAACGTTAGAAATGTAGTGTTACAGGCAAATCTTGAGAATATCGTGGATAGAGAGGGTTAGAAATAAACAGGTATTAGAAAGAATAGGATAACAGAGGACTCTATTAAAGTCAATAAGAAATAGGCGAAATAGGTTGGTAGAACAGCTTTTCAGGCATGAAGAGCTAGTTAGAAACATATTAGAAGAAGAAACCGCAGTTAATACACACTTAATAACGAGAATTACACATTTTTAACCAAATACTTACCTGACATATACAAGAGCCCTGGAATAATATTATGTTATATAATTAATAAAATATTAGACATTTGGAAAAACGAAGTTACTCAGTTTGTGAACATTCATAGTCCAGAATGTGAAACCTCTCCATGAGAAGCACCTCTACCCAACTTTTTCTACTTCTTCAATCCATTCTATTATTTCCTTGATTTTCACTTAAATTATTAAGAATTATCTTAAATCAGTTAATAAATATAAATTAGATTAGATTTGTGTACTTAACTGAGTTCTCAAACCAAAAAGCCTTATCACTTTCCCCATTTGTGGTATGTATTGAAATTATTGAATGTTACATAAAATCCAATGTTCGTACCTACAATAGCAGTACTAATTTCGTCTATTTCTCTGTTTTCTAGTGAACGTCTTCATTCAAGACTAAAGCAGAAAAAACTGTTTCGAAAATGACCCGCCTGGAATTGGTGGGGATATTAACCTTTTTGCTCTTCTATCCGTGTAGAGGAGCCAGCTACGCTCAGAGTTCTGCAAATGCTGGCGGATACGTTTATGCACCGCCAAGTAGTCCTATAAGGGCCCCCGATTGCACCCACGACGTCCCTCACGGTGCCCATAATCTACCAGCCGTTAATGGAAACTTTTGGTGGGCAAACGCCAATTCCCCGTTTACTGCAGCGGCCGATTTTTACAAAAAATGCAGCCAAAATGGCAACTGCGTTCCACCAACAGATTTGGTACAGAATGGTGGCCACGACATTTTTAAAATTGACATTGCCAAAAATCCGTTCTTAAATGGGGGCAATCTTGGAAACTTCCAAGGCGTTTCAGTGGCAAGTTGCTCTGGAGCTGCTTGTAAAGACGGTCAACCGCAAACAGTGATAACAACTTGTAATGGAAAGGATTGCAATACACAGCAACTCCACGGAGAACAAAGGATCAATATTACTGGAAATCCATTCCTAAATGGCGGCGCAGTATTTGGTGGTGGAAGCGGTTTGGCTTCCATCCCGCCAAGTGGGCCTGGATGTGGCAGCGGCGGTAGATGTAGTGGCCAGAACAACTTCGAAAGCGTCTCTTTTGCAAGTTGCAGTGGTGCAGCTTGTAAAGATGGTAAAGACAAAACAGTTATAACGTCGTGTAAAGGAAAGAACTGCAACACACAGCAAATTGAAGGAGCTCAAGGAGTGAACTTAGGAAGCAATTCATTTTTAAGCGGGAACGAAATTGCAGCAGGGAGCATTTCCGGATGCTCTGGAAAACAATGTACCCAGCAAGTAGAAGGAGCTCAGGGAGTGAATTTAGGAAGTAATCCATTTTTAAGCGGGAATGAAATTGCAGCGGGGAGCATTCCCGGATGTTCTGGAAAACAATGCTCCAGTGGATTTAGCGGTAGTTACCAAGGTGGCTATTCATATTCTCAAGGAGGTGGTTGCGTCGGTTTCGGCTGTAAAGAAAAGCCACAACAACTCGATGTGTCCAAAAATCCATTCCTGAACGGAAATGTCCAGTTTGGCGGAAACGGAAACCTTCAAAGCATTGCAGTCTCCAGTTGTACCGGTTTTGGTTGTAAAGACGGAAAAGACAAAACCGTTGTAACAGCTTGCAAAGGGGCTGAATGCAAAACTCAACAATACGAAGGAGTTCAACAGATTGACGTTGGCAATAATCCTTTCTTGAATGGAAATGTGCAAATTGGCGGAGCAGCAGCCGCCGGTTGTTCAAGTGCTACAGGCTGTGGTCTGACATCTAGTCCTACTTTGAATCTTGTTCACAATCCCTTCCTTAACAACAAAGGAGTTACTCAATCTGCCATCACGAATAACGGTGAGGCCGTTAGTACCGGAGCTGACGGGTTTTTGGGGGTACAACCAGGAGTACCTTTTGGAAACAAACAAAAACCATTTTCTCCCTCTTATCCAGGCCAAGTCAGTGGAACCATTTCTGTTAGTGCTGCAGGAGGTGCTGTGGCTGCTGGTGGAGCACAAGCCGGAGGTGCTGCTGGTGTTAGTAATCCACTTTTCCTTGGAGAACAACAGGAGAAAGGCCAAGCTTGCAGTGGGATTGGATATATTTGCGTGGCTATCCATAATTGCATTAATGGATTTGTCAGTAATGACTTGAGAGACACCATTCAAGTGAAAAATGAGGTAGGTGCCTTTTGTATGTTATTCGTTGCTACAATACAAATGCATTTTAAAATTTTAATCAAAATTCGAGTTAAGCAAGGTTTGCATACACATTTACAGTTACACATGATGAATGGGTAATGAAATGTCTCGCCACTTCCGGCTGATAGTGAAAGTTTATTGATTGTGATTGTAGAACACGGTGATATTTTACATTCTGCAGTTTAACATCACAAAGTTTTCTATTATAGCAGTCGAAAAGTATAAAATCAAATGAATCATGAAAAAAGTGAAAAGAATAAATTGTAGTCAACGTAGGTACCTCAGGAAACTTTCGTGAATTTGAATGTTGTTTTCAGAAGAATAGTTTGATATTGTTAGGTACTCCGAATACGGGGTGTTTCTCAATTTATTATTAAAGGAAGCATTGATAAGTATATAGAATTCACATTATGTATAAAGTGGTTAAAACAGTTCTGATATGGCCTTCATCGATTGTGAATTAATCTTGGCAAATAAAAGAAATCAAAAATTTTAGTGCCCAAGGATTTTCGATCACGTATCTCAAAAAATATTAAATTTTGGACTGTACGAGTTCCCACTGTGTTTCAAAAACAATTTCAGTTTTCAGTACCTACAAAATTAAGCCTATATAGTAATCAATAAATAATCAAAGTCAGTAAACATTGTAGGTGTATGTATACGCTGTACCCGTAGGTAGAGAATGGGCTTTCAATTACTTGTAGGGATTCCAAGGATATTATGAAAATTAAACTTTATATAAGCAAAAAATCCCACGGGAACCGTATCAACGATGTCACATCATGTCATAATGAAAGTTTCCTTTATTTGGGGATTCTTCGGTTTGGTCAATAATTTATCGAGACTGTCTATGATGTGATGCGATTCGGGATGACTCTAAGGTGGTGGCCCATACGGTTCAACTACTTACGTCCTGATCTATACAATAAACATGCATGTACATATGTATCCATATAATAGTGCTAATTAAACTTGGATTTCTTTAAATAGATTAGATCCGTGTAGTGACCTTTGAGTTACGGTCGGCTCTAATTGAATTATTTCCGTTTGTGTTATTTGTTGTTTGACTCATCGAGGTGTAAAGCATGTGCATTCATGAAATACATAATACATATAACTGTAATATTATATTTCTTGACAGATATAGACTCGACGATATGACGTTATCAAGTAATCTTTCTCAATCTAATGCTACCGTTCGGCTAATTAATGACATGCTAAAGACTAAGAGAAACGTGTAATTATGTAATAAACTAGTAACAACTACGTGTACGTAGTACAATAACTGCGAAATAGCAGTGGGACGATGCCACAAAACTTACAAAAATAGGTGTGAGCTAATAAGCTGTTTTATGTCTGTAATTATTAAGTTAAATCCGGTTATCAATTCTATGTGAAGTATGGATTTATGTAAAAGTGTTTTAATGTGTTTTTAAAAAAATTAAATGCCTTTTTTGTTGAAATACAGACAGGATTGTTAAATTGTCTATGTAAATATACATAAAAACGAAATCTGTGTGCATACAGGGCGTTTTAAAGTAGCACAGCGTTCAAAAAATTCGTTTGTTAAGGAATTTCTGGTTAAAATTTCCCTTTATTTTTTCCAACTGAAAAATGATTAACAATTAATCTGAAGGTAAAGGTGGGGGTGGGGGTGGGATCGAAAGAGGAGGTCTCCCCCACCGCTGTACCATAAAAAGTTCGTGGCGGTCTCACCTCCATAAAAAGTTATGGGGGTTCGAAGTTAATAAATATGCCAATTTTTATACATTTCTAGGCATGTAAATATTTATATACTTAGTCATTCTTAAACAATATTCAAAGGTAAAACTAATGAAAAATACATAAAAATATTGAGAAAGTTATATAAAACATTATTTAAATAGCTTTATCAATAGGGTAGGTTAGGTTAGGTTAGGTTATCAGGTTTTGTTCAAGTGACCACCCTCTTTCGATCCCCCACCTCCACCCGCTTGAAAATATTTTTTTTATTGAATTTTATTTGAATTATAGTGTATGAAAATTGTCAAAATAATCGACTTTCAACCCCCATAACTTTTTATGGGGGTGAGACCGCCGCAAATTATTTATGGAGTTTTGCTCAGATGGCCACCCACTTCCAATCCCCCTAAGGGGGCCATCATCTAACCCCCATAACTTTTTATGGGGGGTGAGACCGCCACGAACTTTTATGGTACGGTAGTGGGGGAGACCTCCTCTTTCGATACCGCCCACACCCACCCCCTTCGGGGTTTACCAATCTGAATTATGTCACATTATTCAATTTCATAATATTTAATTAAGAATTGAAAAGAGATAAATTTTGGCATGCTTGCAGAGAGTTACTCCAATGAAATGAAATTGTGAGGATTTTTCGATTTAAAGTCTAGTTTTTTCCGACAGGGGGGTGTCAAAGTTGACCAAAAATTGATTGGACTAATATGACAAATGTGAACTAAAGAATAGAGGCAATTCTTCTAGATTTTAACATGCCTAATAAGAATATGATTTAAAATAGTTGTGATTAATAATCGAAGAAATTCATGTTTTTTATTAGGGATTATTATTTTATTGAAATTACCTATATGAAAATGAATGCGATATGCTCGAATTATTTTGAATGATTGAGTCTTATATATGTTTTTTTTTTTAAATTTATTGTTAGTATCAAATGTAACCCATTTAAAATTAACAGCGCCACAGCTGCCTTTATTTTCATGAATTTAATTTGTAATTTACTTACAAATTCTTTAACACACCTACATAAATATACCATATGCGAAAGAGATGATGGACCTTCATAGAAAGAATCTCAAAGTATACACCATGCGCATTGCCGCTTCGTAGAAATGCGTATTCGTACACAATTTCCAACAATCGATCGGTGTGTACTCACAGTCTTTACTGCTATGGGTAAAATTCGTTTATTACAACTGAATGCCAAGATCCGCACTTTCGCATACGGTATACACAGATGCAATGTAAAATTTTAAGTTGTCTCTGTGTATGTAATGAGTTTGTGCAATTTGCCAAAATTGATATTCTTCAACTACACGACAAGCCGCATATCTGATGGAGTCGCCGCCATTGAGACGACGCTTAATAACCCACAATGAAATAGAAAGATACGTAAAAAGACAAGTGTATGGTAACATGTCATCTTGTTTGAATCAATTTATTGCCTACTGCCTAGATTACGGGCTACTTAAGAAATAAACTATAGAATGGTTGTCACTACTTTGCGAAGACACGATTTGCGCAATGTGTGATAAAGGCTAAGAACTATACATACATATCTAGGTACATATATTACAAGTTAGACTTAGTAGCTACTAAAATTTTTGTCATAGATAGACGTACAATCATTCTTTCAATTCAGAGGTGAATTTCTTATTACTAACAAAAGCTGATGAAAAAGGAGTAGATATACAGGGGCAAAAGATTAGTATGCTTAGATTTGCAGATGATATAACAGTATTAGCATCTAGCAAAGACCGAGCAGCATGGCCTAGATGTTTAGACCATTGCTTAGCATTCGGGAGGACGCCGGTTCGATTCCGGGTCCGTCTGCCTTGGTCCAAGATTTTCTGTGGTTTCCTTGGACCACTTAGGCAAATGCTGAGGCAGTAATATTCCACAGATAATCATTCATTCTCTTCTGTCTTCATTTCGTCCGTCTCAACTTTCTCACCCGAACCACTACCCACCCATTCCCACGATTCCTGAAAGCAGGCTGAAGAGGGCCTTCCGCCCTACCTTCCGGCGTAGTCCGGAGGGACTGCTCGCCCACCAGCAATACTGGCTGGTGAGAATGAAACACCCAAAGGTTTTTTTTTTAACAGAGGAGTTAGAGATAGCTCTAAATAAAATGGAAGCGGTACTGACAAAACAGTACTCTATGAAAATAAATAACAGTAAAACAAAAATACTGATATGCGAGGGAAAAACAAATAGGGAAACAGCTAATATAAATATAGAAGACGAAAAATTAGAAGAAGTGGACGATTTTAGGTATCTAGGAAGTCAGGGCGGAAGGAGTAGTAGGGATATTAAGCAGGTGATACCGCAATAAAAATAAAAAGAAGTGATTTCAATGCTCGCGAACGGTTAATTAAGAAATTCGAAAAAGGTTGTTAAAGGTGTATGCTTGGAGCACGGCGTTGTACGGGTGCGAAACACTAACAGTGGGCGCGGCGGAAAAGAAAAGTTTACAAGCGTTCGAAATGTGGTGTTACAGACGGATGATGAGGATAACGTGGGTAGAAAAGGTTAGAAATGAAGAGGTATTAGAAAGAATAGGAGAACAGAGGACTGTATGGAAGTCAATATGAAATAGGCTAGATAGGTTAGTAGAAAACTTTCTCAGGTATGAAGGTCTAGTCAGAAGCATATTAGAGGCAGAAACGGGAGTTAGGAGTAGCAGAGGTAGACCTAGATTAGATTACTGTTGGCAAATAGTTAAGGATATGGAATGTTCTAGTTTTAGGGAAATGCGAAGATTAGCTCAGGATAGGAAAGAGTGGATGTGCGTGTCCAACCAGTCTTAAGACTGACGACCTTACAATGATGACTAACAAATGATGAATGAAAATCGCGACTTTGCAAGTACTTTTCAAATTTTCTTTTACTTACTTTTGATTTGTTAATATACAAAATTAAAAATTATCTGATGTTTGCTGTTTTCACTATTCTCATTTTCTTGGAGCATTGGGGAAATGTGAAGGGAAGATATAAGTTTTAATTTAATTTACTATTGCAGACCCAAACACATAAATCTGCTTGTAGAATCAACACGAGTAGATAAACTGACAATTTCAATTGCAATTTAGGAATATTTATTTGTTTTTATTTAATTTTATGCAAATGAATTTAGCGCGTTGACACCATGCAATGCAATATTACTGTAATAGTTAAACGTTATGATCAAAGTGGTCAGTTACCAATAGTGCATAAAACGTATAAAAAATAAATGTTTCAAG